CCATCTAATTACCATCCTATCTACTGGGAGTAACACACTGTACAAAATGTTGCTTTATTGCAAAATTCATCCAAGCTTGACCGATTGCTCTAAATACTTAAGCACCGGAAATGAAGATTACAGTACCAAAAATGTGGAAACCCCTCCAACAAAGCTCCTTTCCGAGAGAATCTACATTCTTAACAGAAACCAGCACAGACAGGAAAGATCCAAAAGGAACAGGCAGAAGGACCAAAGGGCTGGGCAGAACGTGGTTTGTGGGTTCCTGCTCGCTGCCTCCCCAGAGCCATCAGGGAAGGGCTGTGAAAATGGTGGTGAGCGGGAGGGGAGCGGCCTACGCAGAAACCGAGAGGCGTCACGGGTTGAAGGCTGCGGCTAACGCTCCCAAAGTGCTCGTTTCCAAAGGGAGCGGAGGCTGCCTTTGGAAGGAGCTCCTTTCTTACTCTTCACCCTTGCAGGAATTCTCTCCTGCCTCTGGGATGGATCCCTGTCCCCTTGCCCTGCTCCCTGCTCCGGCGGTGACGCTGAGCGTGGCAGAGGCTCCTCATCCGCTCCCTCAGCTGGCACTGACAAATTAGCTGGTGTTTCTGGCACTCACCCACTGCTGTGACATCTCCTGCACCGCCTTCCCCAGGCAGTGCAAAGGCCAAGAAAACCCTATGCCAGAGCCACTGAGGGACCCTCCTTCAAGCCAGGATCACCTTGGAACAGCGAGGGAGGATTAAGCTCTTCCCTCCCCTTTACAAACACCGCCCTGTTAGTGCCTGCAGCCACCAACAGTCATTAGTGAAGACAGTGAAAAGCAAAAGCACGACACCCTTATCATCTCCTCTTTCCTTCAGACAAACACAACCCTTGCATTTTGTTAAGGACCACCACTAGCTGACAGGTGCTGACTTCTCGTGACCAGCTTCCAAAAGGACACTGAGCCATGGTCTCCACGATGCAGTGGGACTTGGACAGCTGCTGACAACTCATTCACTCAAGAGTTGGTCTAGAAGGCAGCAGAAACCCACAGCAGGCTGCAGTGAATTTGCAGCTATACATGTAATTATGGAATTCTAAATTCCGTACATATTTTTTTAGGAGCAGACCTCTCTCTCAAACACACAACATTCCCCTTTGCAGGAAGAAGGGCTTCAGCATTTGGAAGACCTTAGCAAGTTTCTGTTCTCCATGAGAGAATCCAATGTGCAATGATACATCTTGTTTTTGAGCAGAAAGACAGAGAAAGAGTTCTAAGCAACCATTTTAAGAGATGTCAGAAGAAAGGAGCAATCCTTAAGGTAACTTTTATGTCTTTTTGTTGGTGGCAGCGGTGGTGGGTATTTTTGCCTCTAAGTTTCCTTTCAACGTTAGACCAAGGCAGTCTTACTGCACTAATACACAGGTATAACCAGGTTGTTCCATAGGGGAACCTATGTACCTAGGCTCTCCTTTAACAAGCAAAACTACGACCAAAACCAAAAATCCTCAGGTGGTCTAAACTGCTAACTCTTCACCAACATAACTCGAACACTCCAGACCAACAGAAGTTTCTCTCCAATGCGTCCCTCCCATCAAAACTGGGCAAATACTGAAGTGTACTGGAGGAAAGGAAAGCAAGAAAGATGCTGTTTATTTCTGGTTGGCTGAGGGTTCTTTGTGTTAAAATATTCTTTGTATTAAACCATCTGTTCCCAAAAGCTGCAAAATTAATGAATAGAAAAGGCAAGGTTAAGTGGACTAGCCAGTGAATGTGAAATTACTATAATTTATTTCAATGTATATTGGTGATCTTCTTTAGGGTTTGCTGAAAAATAATTTCCAGCATAGCTTCTTCCTTTCCCTTAGCCTGGGTCTCATTAGTCATGTTCTGAGGCAACAGGTTTCCATGACAGCAAACATTGAGTCTCTCACAGCACAGTGCTTGGTATCTGCTCTCAACGCTCTAAGCTTTCACCACTGCACTGCGGCCTCCACCTGCTATGCTCATGACGAAAAATCCTTGACCAAACCTAAGAGTCACTTAAATCATGAACTACATTTTTCTTGCACCGCGACCTTTCTAAAGAACACGCACTCTGCACAATTCAGTAAAGGTTGCCAAATTCTCCAGAAGGATGTTTGCACCTGCTCTGAGCTCACAAGTTCTTGGCAGCAATTTAAAACAAAAATATCACTACGTAAAATGATAATGCTGAATAAGTTGACTCCACGTCCACGAAGTTATCTGACGTTAATGAAAATCCTGTCATAGGAATTAACTGCAGAGTTCAGAACTTTGGTTACAGACCTTATTTTATGGAGAATGAGGGAATCATGCCCCTCACACTGAAGCTAAGAAAAAAATATCTTCAGACACATATTTAGTGGAGCAGAATGTCATTACCAAGCACAGAGAGGAGCTTTCTTTCTTTAGCGACTGTTTTGAATCTTGTTATTTTGAGAGGTGACTGCTAATCTAATGTCTCAACCTCACTGACAGTTTTGTTTGAAAGTTTCACTCACACTGTTAAACTCTTCTAATCTTTCTTTATGATTCAATCCCTGCTGACACCTAATGTACCATTACATTACTACTCCTATGCAGCACAGCACTAAGCAGAGGGTAAAAATCATGTGTTCTCTATTGGAAGGACTGTAAAATAAAAGGAGGAAAAAAAAAAAACCCAGTAAATCGGTAACAAAGCTTTCATAGCTTAGCATTACTTTGTCTGAAAAAGAAAACCAGAGAGAACTGAACCTAAACTTTACAGAATTTTCCACCTGTGTTTCTGAAAGCTTGTGGGTTTTTTTGTTTTTTGAGGAAGAGGAGCTGAGAGGGAGGTGAAGATTCATTTTGAAAGGCTTGGGTTGAGCAAAAGTTGATATGAGAAAACCTAAACGCCATTTCCCCTCCAGTTCTTTGTAAGAGCCAACACATTTCAATCAGCTACAACAAACAAATGCAGAATGAAAAATCAAAACGATAATAATTCATGAATCCCATGAGTTCCTGGCACACTTCTGCTTCTCTCCCATGATGATTTGTCATACTTATTAATATTCATTTGGACATTACTACACCTATTTTTATCCAAGTGTAATCTCTCACTCTCTCTCTAATTGCCCTGCTATGTTTGCAGATGTCACAATTCATGAGTCACCATTAGCTGCAGGATGGAGAAGCAGCCCTGTCACGACTGGGAGGTCGGAGTAAGATCACAGCTAGAATCCTGCAGGCAGAGAACACTACAAAGGCAAAAAGCTTTTTGTTAGATGCAACTGGCAGAAGCAAGGAAGGGAATCGAGGTTAACAACACGACCGTGGTTAATGGTTATTTTGGTAAGTGCAGTTTTTGTTAAGGCACTTGGAGTTTGTCAGCAGGTGAGGGTTCTTCCTAAAATGATTAGGAAGGCAGGCTTATGATACCCTTATAAGAAATTATTGCCCTGTTTTGATACATTCAAAAACTCAAGGAATGTGACAGTCAGAAAACACAGTCAGAGAGTCACAGTATGGCTCAAAAAAAAAAAAAAAGAAAGAGTAAAAGCAAGTGAAATTACCGACAATTTCGCTGAATAAAAGTGACTTATCAAAGCAAAGAGCTAGACCTGTAAAGAGCCTCTTTACACATTCTGAATTAGCTTCTTAATCAATTAAATATTCTGCTTTAAGTAACATCATTTCAAACCAGGAGAAAATAATACACAATTCATAAAATTTCATTAATATACTATTAAATTGGATATCGTCAGATCTATTAAAAGCCCTTCAGCAATTCCACTATTTTTTTTCAGTGCTAAAAGTATCACTTTGACATCAATACTCAGAAAACAGATGGATAAAGTAATTATAAAATGAACAGCATGATGCTATGAACCAGCTTCTCACAGTTTTACTAACAGGATAGATAAACACGAGTATAAAATAAGTGGGCTGATTATTAGCAAAATTATGTCAGGGTGTTCAGGGAAAAAAAAAAGAAAGAAAAAAAAAGAAAAAAAAAAAACCTCTCACTTCCCTGGGAAGAGGAAGCAGAAATGACAAATTTATAATAATCAGTCAGGACATTTAAAGACTACAAAAATCCTTGAAGGAAAATACTGACTGTGCATCCCAGAACAGAGTAAATGCTGAAGGGAAATGCAAATCAACGCTCAGATCATCCTGGCATATTTCCATACTTACCTAAATTCTGTATAGGATAACTTCATGATTTGACAAACAGAGAAATATTAATGGGATAAGATAGATAAAAGGGCAATTCTCTCAGTTTTGTAGTTTAATAAAGAATAGAATAATTTCCTCAAGGAACCCAGTTAAGACTGTCTATAGAGAGACCAAACTACTCAAAATCCCTCACCCCTACCAAAAAAACCATGAACTGAGGGAGAGATGAGCAAGGCAACAGAGCTGCTCCTCCGCACAAAACTACAGTGTTTCATAACACACAAGATCTACAATCCAACTGGTTCTTTTCCTTTTTTTCCATTTTACCCTTTTTCCAATTGTTTGCAAAGTTATAGGAAGTCGATTAAACTGTTCAGCCTTCATAAAACTAGGCCATGTTCACCTTCACAGGGAAAGACACAGAAATAGGCCATCTGCATGAAGAAATAAAAGGACTACTAAAATCTGACCGGTCTGCTTAGACTCAGAGAAGTCTTCTAGACTCATGGAGGTGCATGTTTCTTCTTATGCTGGATGGGTTACTATGTCCAGAAAAAGCTTCTGAAATCAGGGTCCACAACAACTTGATTTTTAGAAAAAAAATATTATTATTAGACTAGAATAATCATTACATTCAAAATAATGGACATTTGTACAAAAGTAGAGTCATACAGTCAGCAGCAGACCAAAACTAGTATAAATACCTCTTCCAAGTATTGCCAGAATATCATCCTAATTTGACAAAACCTGCAGCTAAAAGACTTCGTATAAAAGAGGTGTTCAGTCCAGCAAGGAAGAGAGAGTGCAATTACAGTTCTGAGAAACAAGTACAGGCATGTATTTCTTACACCTGATATTACATTAGCTGACCTTCATCTTGACCGTTATACAAACACATCCCTTTAGTTATTGGCTTTATGGTATTTCTCTGAGACACTTCCTCATCTGGCACTTTGGGTAGCAATTTCAGTATGTGCATTTTATAGGTGCACACAGCAGTTCTCTCTCCAGGTAATTTTAACATTAAAATGCAGGCTTGTTCATGTACTCTTCCACTGTCTGCAGAAAAAAACAAAGCAAGGAAGGATTGAGGCATTGTGGGGTTGTAAAGTAACACTATATAAAGCTTTAGAAACAGATCTCCTTGTCCTCTTTGAAGTTATAGTTTTGCATGGAATTAGAACAAATTAAAATTTAGCAATAAAGCTATTTCAGAAATATTATTGGCCTTTTAGAATCTGTCCTTCAAATCACAACATATTAGAGTTATTGCTAAACTCATCATATCTAGTTGGCCTTGGTAGGCAAATGGCCTACTCACATGAGCAAATTCCGGACCCCTTTGAAAAAAGCTCTACTCACATAGCATTTCCCTAGCTAGTTCAACCAACATATTATTTACTTTAATATTACATCGTCCTAAATTATGAAGTAAATCCATTACGTTCATCTTCTCTTGTCATTATGGACTCAACAATGTAAGTTACTGAAGAAAATTCCTGCAGGGTTTTGATTAATGGTTATACACCTGTGCCTTGTAGAAAAACTAAACAGGTGTTCATGGAAAAAAAAAAAAAAGGTTTCCAGCATACTCCTATTCTGATTTTAAATGTTAAATAGGTCATTCGTTTCCAATCTATTTGTGAAACAGAAGAGCTTTTTTTTAATATTTACACATACATATGCATACAATAAAATATAACAATAGATTTTATATATATATATATATATACACACATACACAATATATAAGTATCTTAGATATAGCTTAACCTGCTGCTTAATACTGTAATAAATAAACCATATCAGCTGATCCCAAAAAGCTGTGGAAGAATGCAAGAAACTTCAAGCAGATTTCCTAAGATGCAATAGCGCCGAATTCAAATGGTCTGTAACTGCTAACTTAACTGCTGCACCTTGTGACACTGAACCTAACATAATCAAATACCAGGAGTATTTAGTTGTATTTTAAGCTCCTGTCAAACAAAGGAGCTGCAGAAAGATGAGGTGTTTGCCTTCTGTGTCTTACCTCTTGCAACATGTCAGAATCTTCTATAGCTTTCACTGCAGACTTCTTTGAAGTTTCTTGTACTTCTCCACCCATTATAAATTCATCAAGAATAAAATAAGCTTTTTCAAAATTAAAGATTATATCCAGCTCACACACCTGGCAGGACACAAAACCCCACCCCATATTTAAATCAGTTTTACAGCATTATAAATATTACTGGGCCAAATGCTGTTAAATTATCAAGCGTATTCAACACATGCATTCTTTTGGCAGGCAGCAGAGTGAAGGAGGACACTGCTGATTACGCAGTATCACAGCTTCTGCACACATAAATCATTACTCTCTGCACAAACTTAGACTAGATATAAAGATATTCTATTTATTATATTTTGTTTAACACATTGTATTTGCAACAAGTTTCATAAGCACAAAGCTGAATTCCAAAATATCCTAATCTACTAAGTTTATAGTAGGTCTATACAGCACATGTAAGGATTACATTCATTCATATAGAGCTTCACAGTGCAAGACAAATTCCCTGTCCTAGTGACCTTGCAGTGACCACCTGCTTCTTTGCTTTGCAACTGTGCAAACATGAGTCATGGCACAGTGATTTAGATAAGGCAGGAACACAGGGACAATTTCAATTGCATGAAATATGCATGGAAGAAATGGGTTTCTCATAGTCTTTAAAGACTTCTTTGAACCTTCCTTCAGGTTTTTTTTTTCTTTCTAAAAATACAAAAACAATCCCCCTTGATTTATACAATGTCCTCTTTTACATTCCCTTTATTCTTGCAAAATATTACAGGGAAAAAAAAAAAAAAGGAAAAGGAAAAGCAGCATACCTGAAGATGTCAGGAAGAAAAATTAGAGCACTGTCACCCAGGGTTTTAAAATAATTTTCCTTTTCCCTCAAATTCTATTGCCAAAAGAAGGTGCAAAACATGAAGGTTGATTTTGTTTTGGGAGAAAGGATAGTAAGTATCTTTTCCTGCAGTTTCAGCATCATATTTTTACACACTCTGTTAATGAGTCCCACTCCGGATTGACAGGCAGAGTCTATCAGGGCAAGCAGTGCACATGGAAACGCTAGGCAGAGCAGCTACAGATAATTGCATTCCTGGCTGCCAGAAAACAAACAGTTCACGGGAGAAAATGAAACCTACATTTCCAAAGTATCTGTCCAGTAGTTCTACATATCGATGAACGACCTCTAGTGTCAGGAGCTCATTATCCTGCTCTTCTATTGCACAACAGAAGTACAGACTAGCATACCTAGGAAAATAAAGGCAAAAAGAGGAGAGCAAACAACAGGATTCTCAATGCTTTGCTCTTTGCAAAGCAACAAACATGATAATATCTATCTGGTCTCTAAAATAGATATATTTATTTTCTTCCTCACAGTGCCTCACGAAGCACATAAAAACAAAAAGTTAAACAAATTATTAGTAAAAAAACCTCACCCTTGGCAAAGTGGAAAACCCACGGAATATTAGACACCCCAATCACTGGTTCTTAGCAAAGCAAACAAGGAGCATGTCAGAGATCTACCTCATCTGCTGCAGGAGTTTGCAGGCTACAATGGATTAACTGTGGAATGGGATATTAGCTCTTTATTTATATTATACATATGTTTTATATATATATATATATATAAAAATATGCATGTAAGTGTGCAAAAACAAAGGTGGAAAGGGCTAGAGCGATAGATGCAGTGGTTAGAGCTCCAAGCTGTCACAGCAGCTGATCAGATATACATTTTACATCCATCATTTCACTGCAAGGTACTAATTTTTTTCTAAATGGGACATGCTGCTTAGTTTGTCTAGTGTGCTATTATAAAGTCTGATTTTGTTTACTGTAGCTTTACAAGGATTAAAAGGCAGTTATTGTTACACATCGTGTAACTGGGGACCAACAATTCATTTAGAAGAGTAAACAGGAATTAAAAATTTCCAGAGCAACAAATATTTCAAAGACAAAAGCTGACAAAATGTCGAAAGCCTCTCAGAACATTTTTTACAAACTTTTAAGAGTCTTACAAAGCCTAGTGCACTTCTAGTCAAATATCCTGAAGATCTAGAAGGAGGAATAAAGCCTCGAGCCTTCCAACAGAATTTCAACCATTAATACTTACTGTATTACCCCATTTTTCTCTTTTGACAAATTGAGTAAGTATTTTTCACCTAACAATTTACTTTGCTGATTTATCCAGGGACACTGGTGCAGGGGTTTGACTCAAGATGGAAGATGTTTACTATCATGTTCTGGTACTTGGCACTTTTTAAAAACAAATGTGAGCATTTACTTTTCCTCTTCTAGAGTGTGTGGCATTTATAAGAATAGTAGTTGTATGTTCTCATAAAATTACTCACACCTTTTGTAAACAAGCTTGAGGTCTTTCCAGTCAACAAAACTGCTTGTTTTCTGATTGCGAGCCAAAATGATCTGAACAATTTCTCGAGTGATCTTTTTCTTCTCCTTCTCAGGTAGCGTCGTATACCACTTCTGAAGCCTTAATTTCCCCTGTCGACTGAACAGCAGTATGAAGTGTATCTGAAATAAGCAGAGCAACATGGTTAGTGCCAGTACCCCAGCCAGCCTCCTGGATATGTAACAGCAGGAAGAACATGTCCATGGGATCTCAGTGAAGCCACCCCTGACCTCGACGGGCGTTTTGGACACGGCGCCGGTGAGGTTTGAGGGGCTGAGCGTGGCAGCAGGGATCACAGTGTTCAAGCGTGGAAGCTGACTTGACCATTTCAAGTGACAAATAAAATGCCATGATCCCAGAAGAAAACAACCAAGTGCTTTGGAGCTTGACAAGTTTTGCAAAACAAATCACCAGATTATGAAACACAGTTTATTATGGGCCTAGGACATTAGAATAAAATAGCACTGCATGTGTTTTGGTTCTACTAGATTTTCAGTTTTAAAGCTAATCATTGCATGATTTGCAAAGCTTTTTTTCAAGCTTAGCATTAGCAGTATTATTGAAATACAGAACAACTAGCTTTAGAATCGGCCTAAAAGACAATGAGATTTTAGGAGAAAATCATCAGTTAACACTTACACAAATACGTTTCTCAGCAGATTTAAGTAACTGACCATACTATGTCTACAAGCTGCCTAGCAAGTCATCTGCTCTCTGCACAGAAATTGCTTTGACGATGCAGGAAATCCACTTGAGGACGACCGGTCGTCCCAGCGGGGTGTGCTCTGCTGAACACGCATATCGTGTTTCACCCGGCTATCCCCATGTCCGCGCTTCCCCATCGCTTCATCTTCCCGCTAAGGATTAAAGCTAAGGTTCATAATTACTATGAAGATCACATGCAGATTTCTGTGAAGAAAAGAAGTCATTCTGTGCTTTGGTAAAGTCAAAGCACGGAAGTGCATCATAGAAGCTCCTACTTAAAAGTAAAAGGAGAGAGGAAAAAAAGAATTTCAAACAAAATATTCAGAATTCAGAACTATTCTCTAGCAAATAAGCCACATAGTTGTTGAGTGATCTGGAGATAAGAACTCTGAAAATCTTGGAAAATACTTCTAATGTGGGATCATTTTAGGGACAGGTGGATTGTTTAAATCCTGTCTGTCTGTGGCAGGGTTACTACAAATATGACTCTTGCTATCATTAGACTAATGTGCTTGATAAAATTACAAGGATTTTATAGCTGCCTTGTGCTGAGTACTATAATATACCCCAGATAGGTTTGCTAAATAAAAATAATTATGTTCCTGGCGGTACACATGCCCTGATGACAGTGAAGATCAAAGCATCAGGTTCTTGCCTTCTTCTGTTCCCATTACCAACTGTTTTCTGACCTGATAATATTCCAGCCACCTCTTCTCCTTCCCAGTACATGAAGGGACTTATTGTCCGTACCCTTGTCCACTGACAGGAGCTGGATGAACGAAAGGCTCTTTTCCTTGCTGCACAGCACATTCCCTTCAAAGCCCTTGCAAAAATGAGAGTCGTTTGAAAAGCAGAGAGAATCAGCTCTGACGATGCAGGTCAGCAGGTGCTCATTTTACACTAATAGGGCAGAGGACACAGCTATTTGACAAACATACATCTAAAATAAGTTGGGATATGTAGGGCAGGAGGCTCTGATTCCAGTGAAAATGCAGGGAGTTTGTGAATCCTGGCAAAAGCTGTGGGCATGCTCAGCAGAATAAGATTCCTGTTTCTTGAGAGAGTTTCTTGCATCCTCAGAAAAGCAGCAATTTGCTTGCAGGGCTCCAAGAGAGGAAGATAATGTCAGTGTATTCTGGTTTAGGTTCAACCGTTGGACCCACAGGACTTTCAAAATCTGAATGCCTGAGAGATACATACTTCTCCAGGTCTGCAACCATATACCTCCAAAGGGTAAACATGAATATATTTTCCATTTGCTGCAGATTAACTTCAATATGTTAGGCTTCACCCATAGGAAACTGACCTACTCTCCTTTTAAAACTGCTTTGAAAACGCCCCTGAGTTTCTTCTAAAAATGCCATTGACTTTTCACCATAATTTGTGTATCTCCACAGATAAAAGGCAACATCTTCCTAAGGCAATCAGAAAATACCCATTAATACCCTTTGATGCACTGAGATTCATATACCAGCTTCAGCTACCCTGTCTTTGGGGCCTTGTGTACCATGCTCCATTTCCCATGCAATATATACCTGCATACCCCATAATTAGTTCTACAATTATTGAAATATTTACAGCTAGAAAATACACAAAGGTGACTGTAGTTCATCCCCATGCTAATTTCAAATGCAACAGAACAGAAAATACTATCCTTCGGCCTAAGTATGTATTACTGGTTGAGACCTCCTGCAACAAAGCAGCATATTAGAAAGCTGTAGTTACCTAAAAGAAAAACACTGTTTTTTTTTTTTCCTATTCTTATGATTCATTTTCCCTTTTCTAATGTCTAAACTCCACTCAACCTGGAGAATGCTCTGAAAGGCAAGTAATTTTACATTCTTGGGTGATTAAAAGGCTTCATTCTTACAAGTTTTAACATCAGGTTTCTGTAGACACTTCTTCATTCCGGTCAACACTGCACCGCCCAGCCACATTAACAGGATATAATCCATCTCTCATTTGTGTAGCTCCATTCATTACAGCTCACTGAAAGATTTGGATGCATCAAAAACCCCGGAAAGTACAGCATAAATGCAAATGTAATAGCTCCTCTGTTCCTGGTCCTTGATTCTGGCAAAATAAATGTTTTCCCATTGTACTAATGACAAGATAGATGTTGATTAAGGGATTTTTGGTTGATGTTCAGCAGCCAATCTACAAAGAAGGGCAAGCTATCCTGCAATATTTTATTTTTAACTCCAAAGAAAAGCATACGCAAATGATTTGCTTCAAAGAAGCTAACTTTCAAGCAGCACATTTGGTTTTCTTCCATTGGATTTTCAGGGTGTGCTGGAGATGACTAATAATCACACCCTAAATCAATGAAATTCCTTGTATTTGGCTGACTCACCTCAAACTTGGATCATCTGCACCTTTTACAGAGGTTTAATCAAAACGGTACTGTAATTTTTAATAAGGCTGTCTCAAGCATTTAGTAACCATTCCATACTGCAGTACAGAACCACTCCTAAGTTAGACCATCAAATAGGAAGGCAAAGCAGGTTTTCCTCTCTCCCTTTTTTTTGACCTCACTGTCTAATGCTATAAACATGTCAAAGATGCCACATTTATTCCTGCAAGGAAAACTCAAAGGGTCAGTGCACCAAGCATCTAACCCACCCCACTGCAAGAAGAAGGTGTGCTAGAAACACTTCTCCCACGCAGGAGAGGAGACCACTGGCTGATGGAGGGCTCAAAGGAGCAGATTTCACTTTTTAACTCAGTTTTTACAAGTATTTGGTCAGCTAGGCAGCTCTGCCACCCAAACAGCACTGCTCTTTAACCCTGTCTTCAGCTGCAACCTTTCCAAACTCAGTTTAAAAAGCCTTGACCTCTCCTGATCAAAGCCATCACTAAAAACAGAAATTGAACTCACAGGTAACGAATAATCCCAGAGGAGGGACTGCTCTCCCAGAAGAGGGAGCTGGGTAGGGTTAGAAAGTCTGGGTTCTGTTATCTGTGCACTGCAGGTAACAGCACGACAACGGGCAGGGTTCAAACACAGTAACTTGTGGTCCACAGAAAAGGAAAGGGCAGGAAAAGCCCCTCATGGGCGAGCGCTGCCGGTGCCCGTGGGGAGCCGCCGGCCGGAGGCTCTTCCAGTGCAACCTCCCGCTCCATTTCCCCCCAACCTGCCGTGCTTCTTGTCTTCTAGTTGGCTGCATAATCTGCCCACCTTTTACTATTTGTTATTTTTCCTTACTACATGAAATAATATCTTTTCCCAGACAGACAGCTGTCCAGAAAGAGTTTTCCAGCATAGTTTCTGAAAATGAACAAAAAATGCTTGCACTGAGGTGTTTCTTTAAAAAACAGTGGGCATCCATATCATCTCAGTCATTAAATGATTTTCTTTTCCAATCCAAAACACTTAATATTGATATTTTGTTTAGTTTAGTTTTCTTTTTTTTTTTCAGGGAGTAAATATTGCAAATATTTCCAAGAAAAAACAAGAGACACCATGGACCAATGCATGGTTTGGAAAGCCAGGCTTCCAGAGTGGAATGAAAATACGTACTGAATGCGTAACTATCCGCCCAACACACTAACAATCTAATCAATCCAAGGATAGACAGAACACTCGAATACTTCTAATGAGTAATTTTTCACTCATGTAAGTGAAATTAATTTATATGCGATAAGGAAGAGCAAACCAGGCGGGGAATCCAGACACATCCCGGCCTCTGCAGCGTGGGAGCAGCCCGTAAGAGCTCAATGGCCACGGGAACGTCGGGAATGTCCCATCACCAGCTGCAGCAGCCGGGCCTGCGAGCGGAGGGACCCAAGCTCGCGGGCAGCACGGAGAGCAGGATCGTGTGAAGACATCCAGGGCAATTACGAGCTGTGTAATCACGGCCCTCCTGCCTCCTGCGGGGGCTCTTGCAGCTGGTTTTATTTGTTTGCGTGCTGTTACGGCAAAAAAAAAAATTGCTAGGTTGCTCTGAGGCAGACGGGGGATCGTGGAGCAAATCCCCAGGAGCTGTCCCCACAGGAATGACGCGGTAGAAAGGGGACGCAACGAGGTCTGCGGGGCTTTGTAAACACATTTTCATAGCAGAGGATTAAACGAAGTTGAAGAGCTTGTGAGTCACGCTAGCCCTCGTGTGTGTTATCATCACGAGGAGCCATTCTCCCAGGCTGTTCTGCCAGCAGCTGTGAAGAAGCAGAGCAAAGCCCTGGCAGCGAGAGTTGCAGCCTCTTCTGCTCTCATTTTGGGTCCGTTACCGGCAAAGCCCCGTAACGCAGCCCTGCAGAGCAAAGCGTAGAGCCTGGTGCTGGGTAGGGGCGCAGCAGAGGTGTCCGAGAGCACCCACGCTCCCCAGGCAGCCGGCAGGACGCTCCCCCGAAGGCAGCGGTGCGCG